AAGATAATGCCAAGTTACAAATATGATCCTTGCCTCTATGATGTGTTAATAGACTCTATCTCTGACTTTCTTTTTTCCATTCCTCTCCCTTTGAGAAAGTAGCCGTGCTTTTTGTTGTTCTTATTTTGGTTTCATTTCTTAATTTTTTAAAAAACTGAGACTTAAAGTTCTCCTTACTAAGGTGATGAAAGCAATCCCTACTGGTTAGAGTGAGGATTAAGTGAGATAATTCAAGTAAAGTACAGAACATGGTATTAGATTCTACCGCAACCACACAAGTATGAGCTCTTTCAATACATTTCTTGAGACTGAGCCCATCAGTAGGCCTTTTCTCAGTTCAGGTTTTAGCTGAAGCCAGAGGCTCACCTCGAAAAGCTGTTTCAGTCAAAAGTTCACACCAATGGGGACCTCCCTCAATTCCCAGCAGTCAGCCATGCCCAGGTGAGCTATCTTGCCAAACAGATAGCAGTCTTGCCTATGTGTCTTGCTACAATGCAGACAGAGGTCCGCTATCTCCTTTCCCTCTGGATTTTTCTACCTTCTGCCTTGAGAGTAACCTTCTCCAGAAAACTCTTCCCTGTCCCTTCCACTGGGGTTCCCTTGGTACCAATGCTATCTTCTAGTCCTTCATTCACCCACTGATCTAATCAGTACAAGTCTAATACATGTAAGGATTTGTTTTAGACACTGAATGAACAACCTCTGCTCTCCTGGAGCCACCATACTAGTGAGGGAGGGCAGTAAACAGTACATTTACTGAGCAGCATGTCAGGTGGGATAAGCACTAAGCAGAAAAATAAATCAGAACAAGGAATTAAGAGGGATATTACTATTTGTGTAGGATAGTCAGGAAGGTCTCGTTGAGGGGGTATCTGAGCAGAGGCACGAAGAAATGAGAACGTGGGCCAACAGGACATCTGAAAAGAGAGATCCAGGCGTGTCTGTCTTCCTTAGCAGCAGCGGTCTTGTGTTACTCAGTTTCTTCACCACCATTAGGGGCTGAATTGTGTCCATCTCTAAAAAGATGTGTTGGAGTCCTAACATCCAGTACCTAAGAATATGACCTTATTTGAAGATAGGAGTAATCAAGTTAAAATTAGGTAATTAGAATAAGCCCTAATCCAATATGACTAGTATTCTCGTAAAAAGGAGAAATTTGGACACAGATATACGCATTTGGGGAAGCCATGTGAAGACAAACACAGGGAACAGGTTGATGCATCTACAAGTCAAGGGATGCCAACGATTTCCCACAAACCACCAAAAGCCTGGAGAAAGACATGGAACAGATTCTTCCACATGGCCCTCGGAACTAACCCTGCCAACAGTTTGATCTTGTAATTTTAGCCTCCAGAACTGAGACAATAACTTTTTGTTGTTTAAGCTTGAGCAGCTTAAAGTTTGTGATACTCTGTTATGGCAGCCCTAGGAAACTAACACAACCATCTAGCCCCAGTGAGGGTCACAGAAAGGCCACTCTCTTACCCAGTTCACAGGATAAACCCTAGTGACATGGGGCTTTCTGGACCTCTGGATTACTGTAACTGTCCCCTAACTGGATTCCCTGTTCCCCCTCTTACGTTCTTACACTGTTCTCCACAGTAGTGCCCAGATCTGTCTACAGCTAAAATCTGATCATCTCTCATGAATTTCACCTGTCTCCCATTGCCTTTGGGATACAATCCCGATTTCTCAGCTTGGAGACAAAGCCCTTAGGATCCAGCCCCATTTACTGCTTCTACCTTGTTTCTCTTATCTTTGACTTAACTCCTTGGCCAGAAACTTCCTACATCTCTCTCAGTGTGACCATACGTTTATTCATCATGAGGCCTCAGTTCAGTCACCATCTCCACTGGGAAAGCACCCCAAGGGAACCCCAGTGAATGGGACAGATAAGATTAGGTGTCCCTCCTATGTGCTCTGCAGAACTCTAGCGTTGACCAGTGTAGCGTTTTCTAAAGTGTGTCCCAGGGCAATTTGTTAGTCTTCTCCTTTTGACCACAAGGTCCTATCTAGTTTGTATCTCCAGGCACTAAGACAGTGCCTGGCACTTGGGGCACATTCAACCGATGGATGAAAATAAATGAACAAAGCATGCCATATTCCAACCAGCTGGTCCTAGAACAAAATGTTTCCCCTTTAAGGGGTGGGGGATGGGCAGGTGACCTTTCCAGGGATTTCCCAATAGTTTGTAGAACCACTGGAGCTGGCTGGATCTGTACCTTTCCTTAATGGTTGCAAGAGGAATTTAGATTAGACATTCAAAAGCTGTTCCTTATGTCGCAAGACACTGCAGTATAAGGAAGGGAAATAAACATTCTATCCAGCAATTTTTGAGCCTGGGGTTGACCAGGAATCGAGTTTTTAGAATTTTTTTTTTAAGCAGTGGTCCCTTCAGTTTTCTTCCAAGCCTCTGATTCTGTAACTTGCATGACCATGACCTTACAAGTAAAGGTGGTGGGTGGACAGGAGAACAGAACATTGTTGCAAGTAATCCCCTGTGCTCGTGTGTCCAAAAAGTAAATATTCTTGAGGTTGAAAAATGATTTGCATACACGATTACAAATGCTGGAGAGCCTGGAAGAGGAAAGAGGAGGAAAAAAGTAACAATGTTAAAAAGAAAAAAAAAAAAGCCTAACCAGAGGAAGACGGATGGATCACTGAGGAAAATAATCAGGATTAGGTCTCTTTTTGCATATTCCTGAACGTAGAAATGTATCAGAATTTCCAGTCCTCAAGAAACAGGGCCTAAAAAAAGTCTTGCGAGCAAGAAGAGAGAAAACGAAAAGGGGGGCGGGGGTGGGGGGTGGGGAGGACTCGCTCTTCGCAGCAGGAAGTCTTCAATGGCTATCGAATTATGAAGAAACAACTCTGCCCAGAAGTCCTTCTTGGGAGCGCTAAACTCGATTTTACCACATAACGAGCAATATAAAAGCTCAGAGCAGCCCCATCATGGTGTTGGGAAAACAACTCCGGCTTCCCCATGTGAGAAAGCCGGAGAGCTCTGACTGGGTAGTGGCCCAGACACGTACTAGGGGTTTTATTTTCTAGTCAATGAACCAAACGGGCGACCAGGCTCGTTGTGCCGCGTTCTGGAAGCAAGGTTATTATTATCTCCTATTGCCCCACTGAACAATTTCACTGAAAAGGAAGAGTCCCAGCCGTGTGTGCACGCACGGTGCCATACGGGACGTGCAGCGACGTGCCCACCTCCAGAACGACTTTATTTACAGAGCGATTACCATGTTATCTATTTGTTTTCCTTTTCCAGCACCAGCAGCCTTACTCAGCCCTCGGATTTCTTAATTACAAACCCGTTTGCTTCTAAATCAACCCCAAACCGTCAGGCAGCGCCCGGAGGGAGGCTGTGCAAGTTTGCACACACCCCCCACCTCCCAGATCAAGGGCAACAGCAGAAGCAAGTAACTGTGTATGTGCAAAAAGGTGGATCTGGGGACGAGGATCGCTGAGTTTGTTTACAGAGCAGAGACGCCTCAGCTCGGATGCCAAAGCTACCAAGAGCTGCAAACGCAAACTTAGCAGAAGCACACGTACCCCGGCAGCGGCGAGCGGGCCCGAAAGCGCGGACCGGATCCCCGGGCGCCGGAGCGGCGGCGGCCGGGCCCGAGAGCGCGCCCGGTCCACCTGCAGCCGCTGCCGCTCCCCGCCCCCAGCTCCTGTCCTTGAAAGGAGTTGGGGGGAAACGCGTCTACGCTCGGAGGCCTGGATTCGGTCTGCCTCCTGCCCCTACAAAAACACAAAGGCACGGCCCAGCAAAGCGCGCTCGGGGGAGGCAGCAGTACTTGCCCGGAGCTTTAAAACCCAACTCGGGGAAGCACAGTCATTACTTGCAGGACGGGGAGGCTTCTGCAAGGCCGAGGAGACGGAAGGGCATCCTGGAGGGCAGGGGTGCCGGGCGAACCCCCCTTTTCGCTAGAGAGCAGGCCGGATCGCGAGGCGAGGCGGGTGGGAGAGCCGGGGGTGGGGAGACCCGGCCAGAGCGGGGCGGTGAGCTTTCGCCGCTCCTCTCGGGGCGGCCGCTGCCCTCGGGCTGGGAGGCCGGGGAGGACTCCCCGCCCCCTGCTCCGGGGGCGGCCGAGGCGGCCCCACGCTTCT